AGACGGGGTTAATTCCCGTCGTTCACCCATAACCCGAATTGCTGTTTCGTTTCGATAAATTCTATAAATAAGAAAAGTCCAATAAACTTCATTTCATATAAAACCTATTTTGAATTCCATATAGTAGAATAGTAAAAAAATCATAGTATAAGATGTGAAGACAAATCTACTAGTTTATTGTTTGATAATATCAAAAAAATTTTTATTTTAATTAAGGAGCTTTTTATGTTTATAGGTTCTGATTTATTCTTGAAGGTACTCAATTCAGTCGTTGTAGTCGGACTTTATTATGGATTTCTTACCACATTTTCAATAAGGTCCTCTTATTTATTCTTTGTGCGAACTCTGGTTCTGGAAAAAGAAACAAATACAAATAATAAGGTAGCAGCAACCACTGGTTTTATTATGGGACAGCTCATGAGATTCGTATCCATCTATTATGCGCCCTTTTATCTAGCTTTGGGTAGACCTCATACAATAACTGTCCTTGCTTTACCTTATCTTTTGATTCAGCTTTTCTTGAACACTGAAAAAAAAATTTTTGCTTATGGATCTAATAACCAAAATTCGATCCGTGAGCTAGAGAATATCTTTGTATTCCTCAATCATCTTATTTTTCAGTTGCTTAACACTTGCATTTTACCAAGTTCAACGTTAGCCCGATTAGTAAGCATTTATCTGTTTCGCTGTAATAATAAGATGTTGTTTGTAACAAGCAGTTTGTTTGCTTGGGGAATGGGACAAATTTTAGTCATAAATTGCTTGGAATTTTTAGCAGTCTGGATACAGAAAAATAATGTTATTAGGTCGATCATTCGAAAGTACCTAGTGAGAAATTCTATATTTTTTATTTTAGTAAATTATAGTTTTGGAACTCTAGTATGTATTCTAAGTATTCAGTCTTTAGGCAGAACACCCTTACCTATTCCTACTCAGAAATTTAGTGAGGTCTCAAAAATAGAACAAAGGGAAAAGGAAAGGTTGCAAAGGGAGGAAGAAAAAGACGTAGAAAAAAAAAAGAAATCCGCTGAAAAAGATCCTTCCCTTTTTTCCGAAGAAAAAGGTATTTTGGAAAAAGAATTGGACTTGAAGGTAAATGAACCAGACTTGGAAGGGTCTGATTCCGAATTGGAAATCCTTGAAAAAAATGAAAATAAAGAACATATTGTGGCTCTTCTTTTTGATTATAAAAGATGGACTCGCCCATTTCGTTACATAAAAAATAATAGACTTGAACAAGCTGTAAGAAACGAAATGGCACAATATTTCTTTGACATACATAAAAGTGATGGAAAAGATAGAATATCTTTTACCCATCCGATAAGTTTATCAACGTTTTTTCAAATAATCAAAACAAAGATACCCCTTTTGTCACTAGAAAAAGATATTTCTAATACATTGGACAATTTTTGGGTTTCTAGAAACAAACAAAAATTAAATTCTATAAAAATTGATTTGCTAAATCGAATTAAAAATCTTGACAAACCAGTAGCAGTTCCAATAATCGAAATTGAAACAAACAAAACGCGATTATGTATACACAATGATGAGACTAGAAAAGAATACTTACCAGAAAAGTATGATCCCTTGTTAAATGGGCCTTCCCGCGGAAGAATAAAAAAAGATATCACGTCGATAAACGATACTTCGATCAAAAAGTTGAGAGAGAAGGTTATGCTAAATAGACTTCATGCTTTATTGTTGATGTCTACTTTTGAAAAAAAGGAAAAAAAACCATTACAAGTTGGTGAGTTCTCAACTTTATCATCAAGTTTCAATTTAACGGATTCAGAACAACTAACAAAATTTTTAGTAAATGCAATTGAGACAGACGATAAAAAATCTTCTGCAATAGAAAAAATAGGTAAAGAAGAAATTGGTAAAAAAGTCCCCCGATGGTCATACAAATTAATAACTGAATTGGAACAAATATCGTATTTTACAAATCCACCAGATGATCATGATATTCGTTCAAGAAAAGGGATCAGTGTATTAATTTTTGAAGAACCTAAGACTCTCAAAGATAAGACTACAAACAAAGATAAGAATACAAAAGATACAAATATTCAAGCTATAAAATCCGACGATAATGAGAAAGATAAAAATATTAAAAAGAAAAAGGAAGATGAGGATAATAAGCTTTTTTTATTACGATATCCGCACCAATCTGATTTTCGCCAAGGCTTAATAAAAGACTCTATGCGAACTCAAAGACGTAAAATAGTTATTGAGGGACTTTTTAAAGCAAATGCGCATTCCCCTCTTTTTTTTGACAGGATGAGGAAAAAAACCTTTTTTTCTCTACCATACCTGGCTCAACTGAAACGGCTTTTTAGAAAATGGTCATCCATAAAAGAGTTTGGGATTTTAGAATCTACAGAGGAAAAAAAAATAATAATAAAAAGAGAAACCAAAAAGGAAAAAAAACGACGAGAGGAAATAGAACGGTTAGAGATAGGGGAAGCCTGGGAGACTTTTCCATATACCCAAATAATAAGAGGTTTTTTATTAATAACCCAATCAATTCTCAGAAAAAAGATTCTATTACCTTCATTCATAATCGGTAAAAATATCGGGCGTATGCTACTATTTCAAACTCCTGAATGGTCTGAAGATTTAAAGGGATGGAATAGAGAAACGCATGTGAAGTGTACTTATAATGGTATTCCGTTAGCTGACAAAAAATTTCCGGAAAATTGGTTGACAGAAGGTATTCAAATCAAAATTTTATTTCCTTTCTGTCTCAAACCTTGGCACGAATATAAATCGCTAAATTCTCGTGATGACTTTTGTTTTTTTAACAGTTTGGGGAAGGGAAACAGAACACCCTTTTGGTCATCCACGACAAAAACCTTCGTTTTTTTAAGCCTGTTTTTAAGGAACTTTACAAATTTGTAAAAGTAAAAATTAAATTTTTAAAAAAGTTTTCAAAAAAAAACACAAGTTCAAAAGAAACAAGAACAATACACCCGAGTGTAATAAAAAATGAAAAAGATGATCTAATAAATAACCAGATAATGAATCAACCCTTGAGTAAAATTGAAAAAATTACAGATTGGAAAAATTATTCACCGATAGACAAAATGCAGGCTATCACTCATAGGACAAGTACAATTAAAAAAAAACTAGAAAGAATTACGGAAGATAAGAAAAGGGTCACTCTAGAACTTGATATGAACCCTTACAAAAAAAGTTCGAGATTAGCCTTGTCAAAAAATTTTTGTCAAATGTTGAAAAAAAAAAAAAATAGATTAATATATAAATTTAATTATTTTATAAAATTATTTATTCAAAGAATATCTAATTGTATTTTTTTATATACTATATCTATTTGCCAAATGACTCAAAAAGTCTTTGTGGAATCAACAAAAATGAACTCTCTTTCAAATTCAAATATAAAAACGCATAATAATAAGCTTTATAAGGAAAATTCAGAGAGTTTTGGTGATTTATCCAACTTGTCACAAGCATATGTATTGTACAAAATATCAGAAAGGGGTTTTTTGAACGTACGTAATTTCATATCTGTTCTTCAACAAAATGGAACATCTTTCTTGATTAAAAAGAAAATAAAAGACTCATTTCATACACAAGGAATACTTCCATCTGAAGGAATAAAAAAACAACTTAAGCGGCCTAGAACGAGTCAATGGAAATTTTGGTTAAAAGGGAATTCTCACTACGATTTATCTCCTAATTTCTGGTCTGCCTTAAGATCACAAAAACAAAAATGGAGAAATAGGGCGAATCGCTATCGTAGGTCTAAACAAAAATATTTAGACAAAAGGACTTCCGGTAAAAAATTAAAATTAAATACTTACAGGAAACAAAAGGATGCTAACTCAGTCTTGAATAAAAAAACAAAAGATAATTTAAAAAAATGCTATCGATATGATCTTTTAGCATATCAATACATTCAGTATGAAAAAAATAGTGGAACCCCTCCAGGAGCTAAACGGGAAGCAATTTCTTATCATTACAAGATGTCACAAAACAACTTGTTTGCGATAACGAAAAATATTCCTATCACTAGTTTCAGAGGAAAAATAGAAAGGTTAAATATTCCATATCCAAAAAAAGATGTCGATAGAAAATATTTGAATTGGAAAAATATTGATTTTTCTCTTAAAAAAAAAGCGAATATTGAGTCCTGGATCACGGGTAATTATAACAATACTCAAAATACTCCAATTTTCACTTACAATTATCAATTAATTGATAAAATGGAAGAAATTTTGAAAATTGAGCAAATTTTTAAAAACGAAAAAGATCCTTTTGCTCTTTTGATTCAGAAAAATACCGAAATGAATCGACTCCATTCTAGAAATTCTTTATTGGATTGGATGGGACTGAATGAAGAAATACTCGACCGTCCATTAACGGCTGAGGAACTTTTGGTTTTCCCAGAATTTGTGTGGTTTGTTAATTTATATAAACTGAAACCATGGATTATACCAAGCGAATCACTTATTTCAAATTTGAATCTTAATGAAATGACAAGTCAAAAGACCGGTAAAACTCAGAAAGATAAAAAAGATAAAACTGAGAGTAAAAAAAAAGATAAAGCCGAGGGTCAAACCAAAAGTGAACCTGAGGGTCAAACCAAAGGTGAAACTCAGGGTGAAACCAAAGGTAAACCTGAAGGTGAAACCAAAGGTAAACCTGAAGGTGAAACCAAAGGTAAACCTGAAGGTGAAACCAAAGGCGAAACTGAAGGTGAAACTGAAGGTGAAAAGAAAAGTCAAACTGAGATAGAACTAGAGTTATTCATGAAAAACTATTTATTTTTTCAATTTAGAGAGGATTTTACTTTAAATCAAGGCCTTTTCCAAGATCTCCAAATCTATTGTCTCTTGCTTAGAATGATAAATCGAAAAAAAATGATGCTATCATGGATTCTAAGGGAAAAGTTAAATTTGGGTCTAATGCCACAGATGGATCAGAAAGAGAGTGTTCCAGATTCAAAAAGAAATGTTCCAGATTCAAAAGAGAGTGTTCCAGATTCAAAAGAGAGTGTTCCAGAATTTTTAAAAAAGACGGGATTTTTGGTCGACCCCCTTCCGCTGTCTATCAAACCAAATGGAGAATTTCTTATGTATGAAACGATAGTTATTTCGTTGGTTCATAAGAGTAAACAAATTCTTAATAAAGAAGACGTAAAACAAAGAATAATTCGCGCTCGAGAGAACAATAATTGTGATCCGCTTCTTATTGAAAATATTTTATCATCTAGGCGTCGTAGAGAATTAAGAACTCTAATTTGTTTCAATTCACACAAATGGAATGGCTGTGGATGCAAATTCTCTAGTTTCCAACAAAAATAAAGTTTGGGAAGAAAGCAACCCTGGGCCTAAGGATCAAAATAAATTAATTGAATTTTTTCTTTGGCCTAATTATCGATTGGAAGATTTAGCTTGTATGAATCGTTATTGGTTTTATACTAATAATGGGAGTCGTTTCAGTATGTTAAGGATCCATATGTATTTACCATTGAATTTAAATTGGTGGAAATTTAATTGATAGTAGTACTATCTACCCTGTAGCAGGGTAGATGGTAGCAGGTTAGATGAAAACCAATATGGACACATACCCTATTTTATACCTCATTTTAATTTGGATCTAACTGAATTGAGGATACCATATATCTATCTAGATCTATATAGATATATTGTACCTCATTAAAAGAATATTAAGTTGAAAAAATTCACTTTGATTTTATTAATGAACCCTAAAAGAAAGGGTTTTCTTTTGATTTGAATTGATAGACTTAGTTAGAAGAATTCCTTTTTAGCAATAAATGTCTTTCACATCCAGTGATAACCTGTAAATCATTTGAAATGGCAGTTCCAAAAAAACGTATTTCGAAAGCCAAAAAGCGTATTCGTAAGAACATTTGGAAAAGAAAGACTATTGAGGTAAGATTAAAAGCTCTTTCATTAGCAAAATCTCTTTTAACGGGTAAGTTTCAAAGTTTTTTTTACAAAAAAAATAAGAAAACATTGGACTCATTTCTGTCAAGTTGATTTATTCTATAATATAGAATAAAAGTAAATAATATTATCCTTTTTTTCTTTATTTTTTGTTCGTTCGTTTTAGTTACTAATCAATTATTTCATATCTATGAAATGAATCTAGAACTTAATTATAAAAAATTATTTTAAATGCATATTATATATCAATGAAGGGAGTTCATTTAGTTTATGATAAAAAACTTACAAAACAGAGGTTCCGTTGAATTTCAAGTATGGAATTTCACCAATAGAATACACCGGCTTACTTCCCACTTGAAATTGCACAAAAAAGACTATTTATCTCAAAAAGGTTTACGTAAAATTTTGGGGAAACGACAACGACTTTTAGCTTATTTATCAAAAAAAAATAAATTCCGCTATAAAGAATTAATTGATAAATTGGAGATTAGAGAGACAAAAACTCATTCATTTTGAAGTTGCATAGCTTTTCAAACCTATTATAGAGGTAAATTTAGAACAACAATATGGTTACTGAAACAATTAAAAAAGAATAGCTTGGGGTAGTGAATAGAAAGACATCATGTCCTTTTGTCTATTGATTCTTACTGTATAAATTTGAAGGGAGTATTTATTTAAAACTTTAAAACAATAGATTGAGTTAATTAAAAAAAGAATCCTTATTTACCCTATTAGGTAGTTTGTAGGTAGTTTGCGTAGTTATAAAAAAATGATAATATTAAAACATAAAATAATTTTTTTTTATTTTCAAAACCAATCCAGAAATCTATTGATTAGAATCCTTCTGAGAATTCATTGAGTCATATAGTATCTAAAAACCAAGTATCTTATAATTTTATATTGGATAAAAATAATATTTGGAGGATACTATATCGATAATTCATAAAGTTTATAAATTTATTCGTCCAATGGCACATTCTGTAAAGATTTATGATACATGTATAGGATGTACTCAATGTGTCCGAGCCTGCCCCACCGATGTTTTAGAAATGATACCATGGGACGGATGTAAGGCTAAACAAATTGCTTCTGCTCCGAGAACAGAAGACTGTGTAGGCTGTAAAAGATGTGAATCCGCCTGCCCAACAGATTTCTTGAGTGTTCGAGTTTATTTATGGCATGAAACAACTCGCAGTATGGGTCTCGCTTATTGATCTGGTCCAGAAAAGTATATTTGAATTCATTCTATTTTTATTGAACACCCGTGCTCTCAAATAGGAAATATTTTTATTTGAGAGCACGGGTTTCACAAATTTTTAGCTTTTCACGAAGTAAAAAATTAATGTCTTTTTTTATGTTCGCGAAAATGAACCATAAGTATGTAGACCTAATCCAATTAAATTGACTCCAAAATAACATATCCAAATAAGAAGAAAACCTATAGATGCCACAATTGCCGAAGTAGCACCTTCGAAAGTTCTATTTCTTCGAGTATGTAGATAAATTGAAAACACTATCCAAGTAATAAAAGCCCAAGTCTCTTTAGGATCCCAACTCCAATAAGATCCCCACGCTTGGTTCGCCCACAAAGCCCCCGAAAGTATTCCTATGGTTAAAAAGATAAACCCTAAACTAATAACTCGATAACTCCAATAATCCAATTCTTTACTTAATTGAATCTTATAAAAATTTTTAGCCGAAAAAATATAATTCATTTTAAAAATATTTTCATTTTTTCTAAAGGTAATGACCATAAGTGCTACTGATAATAAGGAGCCACATATAAGAGCTGCGTAACCCACTATCATCATACTTACGTGCATTATTAACCACTCAGATTGAAGAGCGGGGACTAATATTGAAGATTTTTTAATTTCTGTGAAAAGACCCGAAGTAGCAAAAGCCTGGATACAAAAATTGATTGGGCTTATTATTGTACTTAATAATTTTGTATTTTTTTTTTAAATAGGAAAGGCTATTAATAAGAGCAAAACTCCAGGAAAGAAAAAGCAAAGATTCCGATAAATCACTTAGTGGGAAATGGCCCGACGAAATCCAATGAGTAGCTAATAATCCTGTTATACATAAAAAAGTTATGAAAATGCACTTTTCTGATGAATTAGAAAGTTTTATGTTTTCATCTACAAAAAAGATTTTCAAATAAATTTTAATTAAAATAGAAACGAGTATTATTGAAAGTGAAATATTAGTTAGTATATGTTCTAAGGTTGAAACTATCATAAAAATAAAAAAAAAATAAGATTTTAACTCCGAATTAGATAAGAAAAAAATGAAAAAGAACAAAAGATTACTCTTATTTTTTATGCCGCTACTCGGACTCGAACCGAGATGCGCTAGCACTGCTTCCTAAGAGCAGCGTGTCTACCAATTTCACCATAGCGGCATGTTATTTACTTTCACTCATATATTTCACCCATTTATAGAATTTATCGAAACGATAATTCGAGTGATGGGCGAACGACGGGAATTGAACCCGCGCATAGTGGATTCACAATCCACCGCCTTAATCCACTTGGCTACATCCGCCCCCGACTAAACTATGTTATTTTCAAAAAGGAATCAATAAAGGAGCAATAACCGATTTCTTGTTCTAGACAAGAAGGCGGAATTGCTCCTTTATTCTATTTTAAATAGATTCTCTATCTATATACTAAGAGACGAAGTCTCTAGCCATTTGTAGCTATAACTTGGATAGCAGCTAGGTCTAGAGGGAAATTGTGAGCATTACGTTCATGCATAACTTCCATACCAAGGTTAGCACGATTAATTATATCAGCCCAAGTATTAATTACCCGGCCCTGGCTATCAACTACGGATTGATTAAAATTGAAACCATTTAGATTGAATGCCATAGTGCTGATACCTAAAGCAGTGAACCAAATACCTACTACAGGCCAAGCAGCTAAAAAGAAGTGTAATGAACGAGAATTATTGAAACTAGCATATTGGAAAATTAATCGTCCAAAATAACCATGAGCGGCTACTATATTATACGTTTCTTCCTCTTGGCCGAATCGGTAACCTTCATTAGCCGATTCATTTTCTGTGGTTTCCCTGATCAAACTAGAAGTTACCAAGGAACCATGCATAGCACTGAATAGGGAACCGCCAAATACACCAGCTACGCCTAACATATGAAATGGGTGCATAAGAATATTGTGCTCAGCCTGAAATACAATCATGAAATTGAAAGTCCCAGAGATTCCTAGGGGCATACCATCAGAAAAACTTCCCTGACCAATTGGATAGATTAAGAAAACTGCGGTAGCAGCTGCAACCGGAGCGGAGTATGCAACCGCAATCCAAGGGCGCATACCCAGACGAAAACTAAGTTCCCACTCACGCCCCATATAAGAAGCTACACCAAGTAAGAAGTGTAGAACAATTAGTTCATAAGGACCCCCATTATATAACCATTCATCAATGGATGCCGCTTCCCATATTGGGTAAAAATGTAATCCTATAGCTGCAGAAGTTGGAATAATGGCACCTGAAATAATATTGTTTCCGTAAAGCAGAGATCCAGAAACAGGTTCACGAATACCATCAATATCTACTGGTGGAGCAGCAATGAAGGCAATAATAAATACAGAAGTTGCGGTCAATAAAGTCGGGATCATCAAAACACCAAACCATCCAATGTAAAGACGATTTTCAGTGCTAGTTATCCAATTACAGAAACGACCCCATAAGCTTTGGGTTTCGCGTCTCTCTAAAACTGCAGTCATGATCAATTCTTGGTTGATTTTATAATCAGGGACTCCCAAGCACACGAAATAAAAAAAAATAGAATAAATTAAAGGCTTGTTATTCAACAGTATAACACGACTTAGATATTCGTGTCAACCAATAGAGCTATCTAATTTGATTCCGCCCCCTTTTTTTAAGTCAAGCAAATTTTCTCCATTTAATTTAAGTATGACGATTTGGTACTCATAATTACAATCTGGAACTTGTTAGTTCGAGTAAAGAATATATTTTTTTTTTAATATTTTTGTGAATAAGCGTTCCTATATATATATATAAATTATATATAAATTATCTGTAGTCAATTTTAAAAAAGTTAAAACTAAGCTTACCCTTTAATTAGACTTTTTAAGAAAGATTTACGATCAAATGGAAAAATAAAACTTTTTGCCTCTATTAATAATTTTATAATTTGGTAAAAATTTGAATTTGACAAGATGCATGAATTTTTAAAAATTAATATGCTCTTCGATACAAACAATATCAAAATACCAAATCCGCCTTTTATAAACTCGCCTCAAATTTGAAGAAGCCTTTGAAAACGTGAAATTAAAAATTTGTTCTTCCGATGTAAAAAATTCTTCTAAAAATTCCGAGCCCAAGCTTTTTAAAAAATCGCGTACAGTACTTTTGTGTTTCCGAGCTAGAGTTCGAGCACAAGAAAGCCTAAGTATATACTTTATTTGATACAAACTGGTTTTTTTGGAAGAACCACTATAATAATGAATAAAATTTCGACATATCCGCCCAAACCTTTTAATAATC